CCAGAGTTTTGCAAATATCTCAGCAACGTTGTGGTTGTATTTCGCTTAGTACCCTGCCGCGAAATTATAGTAGGAAGAAAGTAAAAAGGTATAACATTGTGTTAATGAGGATTGGTGGGAAGTTCTTCATGCTCTCAAGTTTATCCTGCTTTGATCCTGTGTTGTTGGATTCTTCAAGAACTAAATGGCTTGTCGAATTTCGGAAGGGAAAGGCGGTGGGGCGAACTATGTATCCTCCATCATTCTATGTGAGCGCGGAAGTACAGAGCTATTAGAGAGTTTTCATAATCGTGAATGATTTTCTCCATTGCCTTTCTGGAGACTGCAACTGCTACGTCCGGGCATCGTAGTCGGAGTACAGAGACCATGACTTTGTATCTGACGAAGCTTCGGTAGGATTTGCGAATGCTTTTCCTAGCTTCTGCAGCTTCGACTTTCACTGCTGTTCCTTTCTGTTTGAGATATTCTTTTATTGCCTGTCTGCATTGTTTTGCAAGTTCGAACGTTAGTTCGCGGTAACCCGCAGCTCGTGCGATTCCACACTGGCTCATTAGCTCGAGTGTTTCTGGAGACAGACGTCTCTTTATGGCTTTCGAGCTCTCAGCTTTCATGGCGCTAACGTGAAGATGCTGAATGAGCCTATCGTATTCCTCATCGAAGTTATCAAAAACAGCATCTTCCGAACATTCGGGCTAATAAGTTCCAGTTGATGGTGGTCTTCAGACTTCGGTTTTGAACCTAGCGGTTTTTCTTCTTTTCCATGAGAAAGGAAACCTTGCACGATGGAGACGATGGCCTGGTCCCGTGTAGAATTTTGAGACAACAGTGATATCGATTAGGGAAAACCCTCGAATTACTGTGACACGGTCTTTTTCGTTGTGGTACTCTCCATTGGGAGACTCCCACGTTCTTTGTTGAGAGTAGGGCATCTGGAATTGCGAGTTACCATAAACAGCTTGGTGGTCATGATGAACTCAGACCGCTCACCTTGCTGTTTCGTTCCTAATCCGTGGGTCCCAATGTAACGTTTTTCGGATGCTCTTTTGGGTCCACTCCTAGCGTTGAAATCTCCAGTGATTACCTTAAAGAATCTACAGCCTTTTTTGTAGAACATCTTCGAATCCGTACAGAACCCTTTCATCAATGTACCCAGAGAAAAAATCGGCATGAACAACAACATGTTGCACAACTTTTTCCGTCAAAGTGACCGTTTCTATACTCTCTCCAAAACCAGTAAAAAATGTTGTCTTGTAAAAACTACTATACTCAAAACGTTCCTCCAGGAAGCAGAATTTCGAACAGCTGGGGCCACCGACTTTTGGAAGAAGGCATAGTACAAGGTACTTGATGGTTAACGGAATTACAAGTGATACAGTTGCAAATTGTATTATAAAGCTAAGTACAATAGTGTGACTTAAGCGTGGTTTATTATGAAGACAAAGTCCGAAGTGATAACTTCGAAGTCTCTGGTTTTGACACCTGACGACGTAATGGATTCAGACAAAAAACGTGCAGTTTATAGGATGTTTAATGCATCGATTGCATTGTGAAAATCCGTATTATTCAGGCAACTGCTTGGAATTTAGTACTGCTACAACTACATTTTGTTTTCCAGCTTTAGTAACAGAAGAGGCTGACTGTGATAACTAAAAAATCTTTACTTGGATACTTGGTTGCTCCGTCCTCACTAGTTGTGCGGACCCCAGTACAATTTCCATTTTCCAGAAAATTACTGGTTTAGCCAATGTGGTTCCTCGGAGTTCTGAAGAGAGCATAGCAAAAGTCTGACCCAGGTCGTCACCGCCAAAGGTGGTCGCAGCCTTTGTGGATCAGAGGGAGGTTCGCCACCATGCGACTAGTTTGATACTAAAATAGCAGCGGATCGCGGTATTGGTTTGCTATTAGCTGACTTTCCTTACCTATAGAAACGCCGGACTCCTTATCAGCTTGGGCGGCCCTGCCGGTGGATGAATCATCCGCTGTACATCACAGCCGTACAGCCAGGAACATCTCCCAGCCTCGATGAGGCTTAAAACGTTGGGAGGAAGAAGTCCTAGTTTCTCTTTTCCATACAATTTTATCATTGTTTAAAAACACTGGTACGGATTTCATTTATTTATTCTTTATGAAAAATAGGCAAAGCTCACTTTGAAAAATGTGGCTAAGACAAAAACGGTGTCAAACAAAACCCTCTATCAAACGCAAACTATAGGAGAATTGCTGAGTAACTGACGAATGCTAAATAAAGACTAAAATGTTTTTACAAGTGCACGTGTTTTTTTGAAATGCAAGAAAAGCACCTGAAACGAGGAGGTGAACGTAGGAAACGAAGGAATCAAGGAAAAGGGTACCTGTTGGAAAAATCTAAAATCACCAGGAATCTAATCACCGCAACACAGCGGTTACATATGGCGGCGAAAAATACTGGAAAACACTTGTGCTACGTTTTTTTTCTTGCCTATCTTATACAAAAACAGTACTGCACACACACTGAAGAGCAGCGATCAGGCGGTTATCTGGGATGTTTCAGTTAAGCACGAAGCCAATCAAATTCATGGAATCTAGGAAGAAACACTAGAAACCGTTTTTGTGACCCTCCGAGATTATCTACGCTGATAATAAACAATTGATGAATGCATTAATGGGCGCTGTGATTACAATTACCATCACCGAAAATGTACGACGATTCACAGCACCTCGCAAGGCTAGATTTCCAGACCAGTGTTTTAGGCCTGAGAGGAACACTACGATAGCGAAGTGACAGCATGTAAACGAGCTCAGACAAGGGCAGGTGAAGGTTGACTACATTTGATCAAAGCCTCTTACGAAGAACATCATAAACGGTATATGAGTCTCAGTTGAAACTTATTCGAAGTACTAGCATTGGCGGCATTCAGAAGCAACGTTGCAGAGAATGCTACCTTAAAGTCGTGATGATTCGATGGAATTCATCAATCATATCAGGATTCCTGTTTCTTACTATCATAACTTAGAATGTCAGATTTTATGTGCTACATCGGTATATATAAAGCTCAGCATAAAAATTGACTTACAAGATACACATTTTTTGAACTTAAGAAAAAGAAGAAAGTCAAATAAAATGACAAGGTTTAGGTGAATGTGCTCATTCTACGGTGTTTCAGATCTTTCTTCTCATTGCTACCGATTCCAAACCATTTTAGGAATTTGCTACTGCTTGTACTGCTGCTGTCCTTACGTTCGTCTTTACAGTAGTTTGATGACGATGAACGCGGTGGTGCGCTATCGACCTAAACAAAATATCATCACTTGAGCTCACTGTTTTCGACTGATGCATGTTATCAAGCTTGCATTCTTCACATTTTCATCGCCTTCGAGAGAAGGATTTATATCATTCATGAAATTCTTTTGAGTCTTTCGGCCATTGTCTCATCGTAAAGATTGAAAAAGATAAAGCACTCGGCGTTGATCAATCCCTGAGAGATGCACCATGCGTTCGACTTCACTAAGCGCCGTTTGGCGGTGAGTGAATGCATATCTGCTCCTTTACAAGGACTCGCTGTGGTCTACCGATGCATTGAACCAGTGCTGCTATCCTCCCAAGCAAGACTGGCACCAATTTGTCGACCCCAGAGGGATGGAAGGATTGGTGCGCCATGACTGCGTGGATCGATTTCACGTGTACGTTACAAGCCTCTTCCGAGCACTGCGCCTCGCGCGCTCCTTTTATTATGCCATATTTCACGACAATTCGTGTATTAATACCCCAATAAATCGTGTGCTTCATAAGGTTATTCTTTTTTTAGAAACATTCGTTGTGCTCAAAAACAAACGAAACGACATTTCTTACGGTCCGGAAAATCAGAATCCCATGAGCATGAAACAAGAGAACTTTTATGCTGCAGGCGAAATTTTGTCGATTAGAATTCTTTTCGAGGTAATTTGTAAAAATCGACAATCAGCAGAAATATGCTGGTTAAAGTTAAACCCGGTAACATCTGATTATGGATATAACGTGTAGATGGACAAACACTACACCCTGAGGTAGTGTCTAGTATGTAATGCTGGTATATTTGCAAAACTCCGGACCGCAGGTGTATGCGGTGGGGAACGAACACGCGTTGTTGTCCTTACCGGGGAGCATCGCACTTCTGTTCAGGCAAAACGAAGGACCCGGATGGTGTGGTGGTGAAGTGCGCTGCTCCCCGGTAAGGACAACAGCGCGTGTTCGTTCCCCACCGTATACACCTGCGGTCCGGAGTTTTGCAAATATCTCAGTATTGCATACGAGTTATATTTGGCAACATACCCTGCCATTAAAAAGAAAAAGGCAGTAAATAAAAGGGTTAAGGTAGTGTCTAGTGTTGAGCATTTCTACTGAGGTTCTCGGGGAAACTGCTTTTACGATAGGCTTACCTTCTCAGACTGCGGTGGATGTATCCGGAGCTGATGATCACTGGAGACACTGTGACGATGTTTATTTGTTGTCGGTTTCACCGCTAATTGTGCTGACATTTCCATATACCCCACGGCTGCATCGTCGCTGAAAACTCTCCGATTATCTCATGAGCTTCACCAATCGCTTGAATAGTTTGCTCAGTTCTCCTTATCCGGACTATGACACTGGTCCATCTGTAATCCCTTCGTTCATCTAACAACTCCAGTTGGTAGCAAAAAGCTTTAAGATCTACAAGTCTTTATATCATGTCAGTGTTGCAAAATTGGTTCCTCCAATTGAGAAATATGAGAAACCTCGTGTCTTATAAAAAAGTACTTTAAGTTCAACACCTTTGACGAGAAATTATTGACAGGCAGCATGCAGGATCCTGTCGTGGAACAGGCTCACTTCTAGTTGAGGTTTTTGGAATACAAATGGTGGACCTTTCCCACTATAAATAAAAAACGAGAAAGCTCTTGACGTTGATCAATCCCTTAGGGATACGCCATGCGTTCGACTTCATTAAGCATCGTTGGAGGTGATTGAGTGCATATCTGGTCTTTACATGGCTAGCGGTGGCCTACCGATGTATCGAACCAGTGCTGCTATCTCCTCAGACAAGTCCGGTACTAATTTGCCGACCCCGGAAGGATGGAAGGTTTGATGAGACTGGGGCACTGGACTCGATCCCGTGTGTACTGCAGGGCGCCTCCGACCACTGCGCTACATTCCCCTATCAAAAAATTTTTGAATGCTTCACGAATTTACATGTACTCCTTGCGCAATCATAAGAGATCCTAATCAACCCTATTCTATACCACAGTGGAACATTTTGGACACTTTAAGCCATGACGGGGCTGTAAACTAGTTGGTGAGGAATCGCAGCCATATCTCCTTAGTTATGCACCTTAAGTATTCATTCAGCACTAAATGAATCATTGCGAAGAAACACTGTGATTTTCCATGAAGGATCGTTTGCTCTGTGTAACGCACCGCTTAGAGATGCCCTGCGAATACATTATCGTTGGTTCAATCACGCGCCCCAGGCTAACCGTACTCGCTGTCCTTAGGGGATGGTAAATTGGCACAAGAGTTTTATGCGAGGATAAAAGTATTGGCTAGTATATCAGTAGACTCATCAAGTTCGTATTACGAAGATTTTGAAGCTAACACTAGTAGGTATACGAACATACGTGTAAAATTCGAAATGAACTATAGAAAAAGACGAAAAGTGAGCGCAGCATGATTTTAAGAAAAACGTTACGATTTTGTGCGATAGGCGACCGGCTACGTTCGTCGAAGGCTGCATTCGGAATAATCGCATTGTCAGGGTATGGTGGTCAGATAAGCTAATCTACATGTTTCTGGTGTAAAGGTGAACAAATGGTAGTGGCTACCAATCCTCTTATTACGAGTGTCTCTGATCTGGGACGAGTTCCACAAGTTGAAAGCTATCAACCGACACTGTGTTTCAAACGACTTAATAATTATTGAAATTAATTGAAAAACAAACGGAGTTACTCGAATTTGACCATATTTGTTTCTATGCTTTCTCAGTAATGCAGTTGGTCTTCTCTGTACTTTTTTGGATTTTCATCTGAAAATAACATTTAAGGCTCCATTGCGGCAAAACAAGTCAGATTGTAATAAATTAAACGTTTGGAGGAATCCACAAGCGGTGCACGATGGTGGCCAAATTTATCAAATCAACAATAGAAGAATAACTGTTAAACCCATAATGGGAGGTGTGGACACTACACTGCTCATTTATAGCTTAGTGCATTCCAGAATTTCTTTCTAACTATGCATATCCATTCCATAGCTAATCGAAAGCAGATCCAAGGAGGAGGAGTTAAACCAAAAAAGCCGTTCTCTGCACGGAATAACTCCGGAGGAAACTTTTTTTTTCAACAATTTTATTGATCAGTAGTTTGACTACCAATTGATTTTTACTTCACTTTAATCACTATGGTTATTATATGGAATGTGGGAAACAGTAAACGCAGGAATAGCTTAAACATAAGGTGTGAAGTTTTTCTAAGTGCTGACAGCAACGCATTGCATAGCGGACAATAGTAAGACACTGTAAATAGTAGCACACATACCATTCATACCCCTGGAACGATAGAGCAAAGTCTCCTTTATGACTCCATCATGTTCATAACCCCCAAATCAATCTGGCTACTAAAAAATTGCTTTTTATTGCCTCGAAAAAGCCTAGAAAGCCCGCAGCCAAAGGAAAATAGCTCATATTCCATTCTGTGTACCAGGCTAAACGGCGCGCATGCGTTATAGGATAACGCGTTCCACCTTAATCAATCTCCCAGAAACGCAATGTGCATTCGACTTTATTAAGCGTTGTAGAGGTGACTGAATGCATATCTAATCTATATAATGATCCCAGAAACCTAGTTATGTATCGAAGCCAGTGCTGCTATCATCCCAAACGGTTCCGGTACCAATCTGTCTACCTCAAAAGGATGGAAGGTTTGGTGAGCCAGGGCGCCGGGTCGTACCAAAGACAACGTCTGTAGTGGCATGGTATTACGTGTGATACACCTCTAACCACTATGTTACACCATTTTTTAATGAAATCAGCAACAGAAAAATAATTCTTCCGTTGCTTTGTCATTTATATTAAACATATATGAAAGGAACCGAGTTCTCAGCCTACAGCAATGGTCCCCTCTATGAAACCCGTGGATTTTTTTAAAAAAACGAAGTAATCACAGCATTTAATGACTAAATGGCAGTTGCGAAATTTGCTGTTAACAAGCACGCGCCCACTAAAAGCAATTAAGAAGCGAAGCTAAAGAAACTCCTACAAGCTTCTCTAATGAACCTTCGGCGCCCATTATTGTAACTCTTTAGTCAACTCAGTGAACAAAATGTTAGTTAAGTTTTTATTTGTTGCTTATTACAATTTTTCATGGCAAGGTATTACGTGTGATACAACCACAATGATGCTGAAATATTTGGAAAACTACGGACCTCTGGTGTCCGCGGTGGGGAACGAATGTGCTGTGACCCTTTACGGGGCTAACGCGTTCACCACCACACCGTGCGGGTTTTTCGTTTCGCCTGTCTCCCAGCTATATCGATATCGCTAGCAGCAATCTATACACAATATCTCAGCATCATTGTGGTTGAGAATGTTAGAATCAATACAGCAATCGTTTCATAGTGATATGGAACTGGTAAGCGACAGACGGAAAGAAGCCAGAGACCTATAGAAGAAAAGCTTTTGAAGAAGAAAAATAAGAAAAACAAAAAAACATAACAGAAAACAACAAAAACTTTTAGCACTAGAATAAATTTTCCTATTTCAACCTAAGCATAATGGGTTTCATGCAGTGTTTGGCGAAGTATTGGAGCTATAAGTAGCAGTGACACTGTTCCGTGCATGCTCAAGAAACTCGTCGAAGTTGGCAAACCCTTGTTGTTAGAACACCCCAACGAACGAAACTCGTTTTAGAAAAACGGCTATGCGAAGTACAAACTTCTTCTTAAGAATAACCCTTCTTGTTACCTTACCAATCTCTTTAAGTGAGATGCTTATTTTAAAATTCTTTCGATCTCCATCTTGGAAACCATCAATAAGCCGAAATCTTGATTGTGACCAATGTGGAAACCATCGCTGAAAATCGCATTAAAGCAATTGGCGAGTTTAGACCACCATGTTCATAAAGTGAACACTCAGCAAAAGGCATGGAAACAGTAAACTCTTCAGTGTTGCAGAAAGTTAGACTGGTGACGGCAGTCTACTGAGCTAACTGCCTAGGTAAGTAAACACTTCATATAGTTCAAATTTCCCGAAAATCTTTGGAAGAGTCTCTGTGCTCCGAGAGAAAAGGCAGAAACGCTTAGTTTCTAGGATTTTTATTCCGTAGTTCATTACTACTCAGCGATCTTAAGAAGTCGTAAACAAACCATTGGAGTGTCGAATTTACTAGAATGGGCACGGGAAGGTGTCAACTCTACGAAATATTAGTGATAATCTTGGCCTCACTCAGTCACAGAGCGCCTAATATTCAAATTTACTGCTAATGCTAGAGGCACCATTGTTATCGCTCTATTGAATAAATTACCGCCAGCCTTGGTGATTTAATACTGTTATGAGCGAGACTGCTTTTCCACCTCATTGAATATTCAGCAATTCATCATCGAACGAATGAAGCTCGTCAAATTTTGTTGTTTTGGTCGAGAGAGAAGCCAGTATCCCCAA